TACTCCCTGTGAGATATTACTGACGACGACGATGAGCCTAATGGAGTTACACTGATGCAGCCAGAGTCCTGGGAGCTGGAGGAGCCACGTGGGGACCCCTGCCAGCGCTGAGATGCTCACAATGCCACTGGATCCACAAGACTTCCCACTCACTGGCCTATGATCTTCCTGCCTTCAGCATCATTGTATGCTTCATGAAGAGGGCTTTATAGATTGGTATCGGACATATGGGCTGATATCGGACTTACGGACTTGAGCTGGACTGGGCTGTTTTCTTAGTATTTAATTGTTCTTGTATATAAGGCTCTTTCTTATGCACACATGAGTGTCTCTCTGGATTTGTTTCTCTTGTCTACCCAGACTAACAGTGTTGGAAACTACAAAAGTGTTGGAAGAATCAAAGATGTAAGTATGTGAGAAACCCATCTATGCTTATGGATTAGAAGACAGTATATGAAGATGTCAGTAGTAGACGGAATCTTGGCCCTCAAAGACATCAAGTCCTAATCCTTGGAGTCTGTGAATGTTGCCTTACTTGAAAAATGGTCTTTGCAGGTATAATTAAGTTAAAGGTCCTGAAATGGGGAAATGATCCTGGATTATCGGGGTAGATCTTAAATGCCATTACAAGGGCCCTTATTGTGAGAGGCCAAAGTTTTGACTCCAGATGTAACAGAAGGTGATGTGAAGATGGAGGCAGAGATTGGCATCAATCTTGGTATCTCAAAAACCTCACTGCCGTTGAGTAGATTCTGATGCGTAGGACCTGCTCACACAGAGTCCACCTGCTCCCTCGGGCTTGTTTCCAACGCTGTAAATTTTTGCAAGCGCTAACATACAGGGCTTCTTGTAGGTACGCACACGTGTGTATAATGCTGTTAGGCTGCTTCATCACAAAGAGATTTGACCTTATTTGATCCTGGTTAGAGATTTCAGTAGTATCAACAGGCAGATGATGGTGATGGAGTGAGGAGGGAGCAGAGAGGGATCCACATGGATAGTTCTGTTCGGTTTCTGGAGTGATTTATACCTCGGTTCTTGCTTCACAGTGCTGAAAGAATTCACGCAGCTGAAGCACTTTTTTAAATCCAATTGACTCATGAGGAAAAGGGAAGTTCCCGGTATTCACAGGAAATCCCAGGGGCCAAGAGCAGGAAATCCCAGAGATGACTGAGAGGGAGCCTGGGTCCCAGGCCTGGGCAGTGGGTGTGTACCCCCACCGTCTGACCTACATGAGCACATCAGAACAAGAGAAGAGTCAAAGAGACTGGCAGCCTGCCCAGGCTGTTTTTATCTCCTCCGGTGGGGAAGGCATGGTTGAAGGTATTGGCTGATCTCATTGGCCGAGCTTAGGCCCATCTATGTGATGTCATGTGCCTAGGCCTTGTCTCTGCACCCAGGTGGACCTCCAACCTGGGCCCTGGGAGCTTGTGTGTGAACATGCTCAGTTTGGATCTCCATAGGTTTCTAGTGGGTGCCTGATCTCTCTGGAGCCCCTCTGCTGTGGCCCTATGCGGGCATTGGGAAGACAACCCCCCATAGTCCCTGTTCTGGCTACCTAACAGTTCTGCTGAGTGGGTAGGAAGATCCACCACCACCCACTGTCATCCGTGGATTCTGACTCCTAACAACCTCTACATAGGGCTTATGAAGCTGTGACTCTTCACAAGAGCAGATAGCCTCACCTTTCTCCTTCAGAGCAACTGGGGGGTTTAAACTGCTGACCTTACATTAGCGACAGCAAAGGGGTGTTTTTTTTTTTTCCTGCTCTTTGGTTTTATTTCTTCAATGTCCAACTTTCATGGGCACCTTGGGCATGGGAAAAGCCTTTAAGCCCAGCTCAAGCACCTTAGTGCTCAAAGCAACTTCTTTTTTAATTTTATTTTAATTTTTTAAATCATTTTATTAGGGGCTCATACAACTCATCACAATCCATACATACATCAATTGTGTAAAATGCATTTGTACATTCATTGCCCTCATCATTCGCAAAACATTTCCTCTCCACTTAAGCCCCTGGCATTAGGTACTCATTTTTCCCCTCCCTCCCCGCTCCCCTCTCCCTCATGAGCCCTTGATAATTTATAAATTGTTATTTTGTCTTATCTTGCCCTGTCCAACATCTCCCTTCACCCACTTTTCGGTTGTCTGTCCCCCAGGGAGGAGGTCACATATAGCTCCTTGTAGTCAGTTCCCTCTATCCTACCCACTCTCCCTCCACCAGTATCGCCACTCACACCACTCACACCACTGGTCCTGAAGGGATCATCCGCCCCGGATTCCCTGTATTTCCAGTTCCTATCTGTACCAGTGTACATCCTCTGGTCTAGCCAGACTTGCAAGGTAGAATTCATGTCATGATAGTGGGAGCAAGGAGGAAACATTTAGGAACTAAAGGAAAGTTGTATTTTTCATTGTTGCTGCATCACCGCAGCCTGACTGGCTCGTCTCCTCCCTGAGACCCCTCTGCATCCAGTGGAAAAGGGTGTTTTAAAGATAAGTGCTTTACAACACGATCAGTGTAATTGGTATCACTAAATTGTATACTCCAAAATCCCTAGGTTGGCAAATGTTGATAAATATAGATACATATATAACAATATGAATTTTTTAAAGATGTAAGTGACTTCCACTCCTGCCTCCCTTACTGCTGGGCTGCAGTCTCCTACCTACCTTTCGCACCCTCTTGTGGTCATATCTGGGAACCACAAGATCATATGTGCCATTCAACAGAATGACTCACTCACTGCCTAATGCTGCCCCACCACCCACAAGCAAGATCATGAAATTAAGAATCTTCACACTAAGCCTGCAGTCTCACCCCCACCGCCCAAAGGCAGTGAGCCTTTGGGAAAAGTAAGTTCCAGTGCCCTTTCTAAGGTAACTGCTAACTCAAGGCAATGCCCTTAGCATATACCTGGAACCCCACCCCCAGTTTAGGAATGCGACTGGCCCGTTCTGGAATGTCCACTGCCGGATATACATTGTCCTTGGCAAGAAGGCCCCTCTGGGATTTGGGACCTGTGTATGGCCACTGTTGTTAGGGAGAGAGGGCAGATATCCTTGAGGTTACTGAAGAGGTTTAATACAGTCGTCACACAGTGAATTGCTTGAGAATTATGTCCTGCGTTTCTGGACATATAGGTTAGGGCCTGAAGTCAGAGGCTGAGATTACAAGCAGTGGGGGCTAGGGCTCTGCTTGGGCTGGAGCTGGTGTGGCTTTCTTTCATCAGGAGAGGTCTTTCCATTCTAGAAGGCCTGCCTGCCTGCCTCTGCCCTGAGCCTCTACCCAAAGGACAACTGGCTGGGGCTGCAGAAGTCAGCCTTCTTAGCTTTTCTAATCCCACCCCAAAGCACTTCCCTTACAGAACTGACCTAAAAACTCAACTCTGCAAATACTGTTCTCAAAAGCCAGCAGGGAAGATTGCTAGGCTGCCCTTCCCTCATGCCTTCCCTTCCTGGCAAACTTGCAGCCACCCTCCAAGGCCTCCCCTAGAGGCACCCAGTCCCAGCTCTGACCGCCCCATTTCCAACATTTGTCTGCTGATACCAGAGATCCAACCCAAGCCGCCTACTCAGCTTCTGGCACAGGGGAGGCGCCCCTAGTCTCTGGGGTGGATGAAAAGCAGTAGTAGACATTTAGGCCCTGAGGAAATGGGAAGGGGTCCTTTGATCTGTATTAGAGTTTATGTAAATTCTGAGCACAAGGTTCTTAGAAAGCTACTGGTAATCCTTAGAGATCAAAATCCGTTTAAGTCCCAGTAGATTAAGCCTCCAGTGTTTTTGTCTGTTAACCAGCAATGTGAACAGTCTTGCCCTCAGGCAGAGTACATTAGAAAGTGAATTGCCACCACTCCCTAGCCAGCCCAGGCTGTGGCAGCTTCCTGCCGGAAGGGCTTGCCCGGGTGCACCCTTGATGGGAAATGTGGTATTGGAGTTCTATAAACCCATCTTTTAATAGTCTTCTCTCTGGCTATGGTTGTCCCACCCCGATCATGGGCCCATTGCTATTTCTGTAGCGCCACCCCCCAACTGTGCTGTACTGATCTGTCACCAATCATACTTTTGTCCTACCCCCCAACCCCCTCCTATTTGAGCAGTTTAGGCTCTGTGACCTCCTGAATGGTCTCATCCGGATGGTTTATCTTTGTCCTGTTTAAGACTATAGATGCTCTCCTTAAATTATATTTGTGTTTGGGAGTCTTTTGGTCTCAAGAACAGACCTTGGGTGGGAAGTGTCCCAAGTATTAACTGGATGTCACATGAGATCACTCGGGTGGGAGTGGGCCAGGCCTCCTTCCTGGTGTCACTGGGGCCAGGCACAGTGGACACTCAACAAGCCACTAGGGCCCTTCCAGGACCTGCAGTTGGTCAGCTGGCCCTGGAACACAAGTTGTAAGCAGCTTCAGCTTCTGAAGTGACTTCCAATGACGTGGGTTTGGGGACCTCCAGCCCTGGAACCAGGCTGCTTCTCAGAGGGGCAGGCCCCGCTGTGAAAAGAGAGGAGGAAGTTCCTCACACCAAAACAAAAGGCTAGCACCTCCACGGTTGAGTTACTGAAGACTAGGGCTTCCATTGCTTGGATAGGCCCCTGTGGCAAAAAACTGAGTGTTGCCTTTGGGGAATACCACTGAGCAACTGAGTCACTCCAGCCCCCCCCCCCCAATTTGAAGGAGCTTGGAAGTGGATCAGCCCCCCACCCTGTCAACCTTTGAGAAGACTGCAGAACTGGCCAACATCTTGACGGGAAGCTTGTGAGCACCCCAACAGCAGAGGACACAGCCATACCCTACTTGGACCCCACATTTTGAGACCCTGCAACAAACACATGCTCTTTGAAGCCGCAGGGTTGGGGGATGATTTGTTACACAGCAGCAGATAGCTCCTGCATCACAAGGCCATGGGCTGGGGCAAGCAGCTCAGCAGGCAGGCCAGCTGGGGCCAAGGACTCCTCAGCTCAGTGGTAGGATGGAGGTGCAGTCCCAGTAATAACTCAGAGAGACTCTCTTGTTCATTTATTTGGATAGGGATATCCACAGGTCACCCATGGCACAAGGAGCTCATCAAGAGAAGACAACACAGAGGGGGGCAGCTGACCTTCTTCCTCAGAAAGGCACAAAGGTGGGGGTCGGCTTTGAGGGCTTCCTGCCCTGGCACCAGGCTGCGTCTCAGGACTTCTAAGGAAAACCTGGTCATTCCAAAAGATGGTGCTTTGGCCAATGTGGTGCCCCTGCCACCACCATGCCCGGCCAGGCTTAGTTCTGAGAGCCGAGCCTGGACTGCGGGAGGGCTGGAGCAGTCCATGGACACAGGAGGTGAGAAGAGAACCAAGCTTGAGGCACACCGCTGAGGGGAGGAGCTGTTGCTGGAAGCGGTTCTGCCCACCTCCAAGGGCCAAGAGCGACCACCTCCCTGGCCGGAGGGGTCAGCTGCCCTCCCACCCCCAACCTAGCCAGAAAGGCCCGGTCGTGTCATGGCCACCACCTAGAACGGGAACTTGAAAGTCACTTTTCCTCCTTAAAAAAGACCTAACATTGTAATGGTTTAAACAAAATTAGTATAATTTCTTTTAAATAACCCACAGACACCCATGATGCTTCCAAATTTACAGAACAAAAAGTGCTCGAGAACTTGGCAGAGAAACAGTTGGCAGCTGGTTCCTTCCAGGTGCCCGGGGGCAGGGTCAGTTCACCTCCAGGACCTCCGTCTCTGGGAGGCCGAAGCTGGTCTTGTGGTTGTCGAAGAGCTTCACCAGGGCCTCCACGTACATGGCGTGGTACAGGTCGATGTCCTTCTGGGCGGGCTGCGCCAGCTTGGGGATGGTGATGGGCTCACCCACTGTGGGGACCGAGCAGAGGTTAGTCAATGCCACTCGCTGCCACCAGGCTACCGAGTCGGGAACTGTGCTGAACCACAGGCTGTCCCTTTGGACAGATGAGAAGACAGGCCCAGGGGGCCTATGAAAGGACCTGCCCACTGTTACACAGCAGCAGGAAGGGACCCAGACAGCTGACCTCACACTTTCATCTATGACACCCTACTGATTTATGGCATCAAGAACATGGTTTGCTCTTGCCCTACCCAGGGCAAGTCACGTCAGCTCTCTGGGTCTCAGTTTCCTCATCTGTCACAGGGGGATCCTTCCTCAGAGGGCTCTCCTGAGAATTCTGGGAGACAGATAACTGGGTGTGGTATGGGGGAGAGGTAATTGGGGTCAGCGTTCCTGTATCTGAGCAATGTTGTCTTTTCTTATTATCTGTGTCACCTTTACCTCTCATCGGTCCCCAAGACCTGTCAGGGCCAGTTCCCTCAGACCCACCCGCTTCTCTCCTGTCTCCACTGCCAGTCCCTCAGTCCACAACCCTGTCTACCTCGGAACCCTCCTCACTGACTTCCCGGCTTCTATCCTTGGCCCCTCTTTCTCAGCAGCAGCTCCTTCCTACTGCTACCACTAACTGTCGGGCAAATCAGAACCCTCCCAGCAGGCCACCCCCAGTGGCTTTAAGTTCCTTAAGGTGAACTGCTCACAGGGTGGGCCCTGTCCTCTCAGCAGCCACACCTGTGGCACCTTCCTGGCTGCCTTGTGGAGAGGAGTCCTGGCGTGGGCTGTGTGCACAGGCAGGATCAAGTGTGAGTCTTGGATCCTGTGTCCCAAAATGTTGGTACTTTCTCTATCCCAGAGTACAGAGCAGGTCACCTGGTACTGATAAGGATAGTACTCATGTGAGTTTTGGGCCCTAGGAGTCCACTGCTTGTGGCCCACACCTTCCTGATGTAACTCTAGCTTGTGAACTGTACGTGTGTGTGTGTATAAACACACACACACACACACAAAAAAACTTGGAATCCTCTGCAGGGGCTTTCTTAACGGTCCCGAGTAAACCAAACCAGCACAGCTGAGTCAGCTCGCCAGCCTTTGGCTACAGCTCCTCATAAGCCCAGGCTCCTCCAATCATGCTCATTTATTTGTTTTCCTGTTCTTGAAAATCGACCCAGTCTTGCTGCTGGACCTACATTTGTTGCAGGCAAATGCCCAGCTTCCCCTCCTCGGCCAGGCCAGTCCTCCTCAGCGAGTGGGGCCATGCTGACAGCTGCCCCACCAGGCTTTGCTGTGATGCTATCTTCTCCAGTAGACCCTGGGTTCTTCAGCCCCAGGGGCTGCTAGGGCCCCTTTCCCACCAGTCAGAGGGCATGGCTCACAGTAATGAAGGGCTAGCCCCCACCCTGCCTCTGCCCATCAATCCTACTGGCACCTACCTGTGCCTGCACCCTCATGGTTAAGAGCCTGGACATCAGAGCACAAGGTGGCCTGGACTTGGATGCTAACTCTGTCATGAACTAGCTGTGTGGTACTGGGCAAATTAATTTCTCAACTAAGTAAACAGCGAGTGAGCGAGCTTGGAGGAGTGCCCAGCACATATTAAACATAGGTGAGCTCTGATCAGACTAAAAACAAAGGAACACCTCTTGGCCTCATCATCCCTTCCAACTACTGGCTCCACTTCTTCCCATCAGCTCCGCCTCTCCCCTCCGTGCTCTCAGCTCCCTCACAGCGCCCTTCTCTCCTAGCTCACCTGGCTCCCACCAGTCAGGGCACCATGGACTCTGGGTGGCCAACTGCAGTGATGAGGATTCAGTGCTCCTCATCCTCCCCTCTGGTGGCACTGCGGATCACCACCACCTTCTTGGAAACCTTTCTCCTCCTGGCTCAGGGGTGCACCCCCTCCTCCCTCAGGCTGTGCCTTCTTTAGGCTCCACCCCAATTCCCGAAACCTTTGGTGCCATCATGCCCCAGGCTTAGCCTCAGCCCTCCTTTCAGCCCAACCTCTCCCCATCTTGACATGGACACTCACAGGTACCTCAAGCCCCAGCCCTTGAAAAAAAAAAACCTCGATTCTCCCACCCAAAACCTCCACCCCACATTGCCCAGCTCATTGAATAACACCATTCTCCTGCCTTGTACAGCCCCGAACCTGGCGTCATCCCGACTCCCAGCTCTCTGATACCCAGTGGGAAGTTCATCAGCAAGACCTGCCAAGCCTGCCTTCCGTTTGTATCCTGACTCTAACCATCCCACACCCACCACCTGTCACCACCCTCCTCTGCACTCCCATCCTCGGTCGAGACCACTGTCTTCTCACGCCTATACTGCTATGCCATTCCCTAGCTCAGACCCTCCAGAGACATCTCACCACACACACAATCCAATCCCAACTCCATCACCATCTTCCCTATACCTCTCCCCCCAGCACTTCCTTCTCTTCTGCCCTTGACTCTTGTTCCCTGGGTATGCTAAGCCCATCCCTGCCCTGCTGTTCATGCCATGCCGCCTATCCCCCATGGCTGGGTCCCTCCCTGAAGCACGGCCCTCTCACAGGCATTATCCTTCCAACACTCCTTCACATCACACTCCATCGTTGCGGGAGTGGCACCAGTAGCCGTGCTGGCAGCAGACAACTCGGTGGCCCTCGAGGACAGAGTAGAACTGCTCCATACAGTTTCTGAGGCTGTAAAACAGTCCGACTGCCACATCTTTCTCCCTCGCAGCTGTGACACTCTAGTTAGCAGCCAAACACCTAAACTCCTGTGCCATCAGGGCTCCTAAGGCAATTGATAAATTAGGTGAACTCTAACCCACTGCCACTGAGTCAATTTTGATGCAGTGACCCTAGATAGGGTTTCCAAGGCTTTATATCTGTATGGGAGCAGAAAGCCTCATCTTTCTCCTGTGGAGCAGCTGGTTGGGTTTGAACCACCAACCTTGGGGTTAGCAGTCCAACCACCAGGTCTCCTTATACTACTCTCTACTCTGGGCCAATTATTTTGCTGGCCCCACTGTGGGTGACCTGCCTTTTCAATAGGTCTTCCACAGGACAGCCAACACAGTCTCCCTAAGGGAGGCCTGCAGGGAGCTAGGGACTCACCGACAGTGGTGATGGGCTTAGAGTAGGGCACCAGCCCCCAGGTGTTGGAGGAGAAGAAGCCTCGGCCGTGGAAGATGCAGGGGGCAAAGCCGATGTACTTCTGGAACTTCTGCTGGACCCAGAGGCCCCACGAGCCCTCCTCAAAGATCACTTGCTTGTACACTTCGTTCTCACCAAAGGAGTAGGTGGGAACCAGGTCAGCTCTGGAAAAGCAATGGTAGGGCCAGTCACATCCTAACCACCAACTGGCTCCAGATCCAGATTCCATGACCCTGACCTCAGGGCATACCACAGTCACCTGGAGGGAGCACACTCACTCACATAACCCCTCAGCCAGATGTGGCCAGGCCTCTGTGCCTGCTGGAGACTGGGCATCATGGCAGTGCTATGGGGTCAAGGCTGTGTATGTGTGTGTATGTGTGTGTGTGTGTGTGTGTGTGGTCAAGGGTGTGTGTGTGCACTCCGCTGCCTGTTCCCCTCACCCTCCAGGGTCTGCTTCCAGGAAATCCTCCCTTTCCCCCAACCCCATAGCCTCCTCAGGTCCACCCCAGTCAATCATTTGCCTGGCAGAGTCGGGGGCTCATATGACTGTACCCCAGGGTCTGGTACAGGAGGGGACCCTAGGGGCATAGATTGTCATTGAAGGAGGGGGCACTGGAGAGCAGAGATTCTCACTCAAGGAGGGGCACTTGGGGTGGAGCTTTGCACTGAAGGTGGAGCGTCTCCCTAAAGGAGGGGACACTTTGGGGCAGAGCTCACCACTGAAGGAAGGACACTGGGGGATGAGGATCTCCCTGCAGCCTGAACTCCTCCCTGAGGAGACACCAATGGCATGCTGCAAGCTGGCCAGGGCTGCTGTTGGGTGACCTGCAGGCTCTGGCTCTGGCTGTGCTTCAGCTGGAGCCCCTCACCCCAATCCCAGGACCGGCCCTGCTCCTGCTTCATCTGGAGCTGAGACACGGGAGCCTGAGTGTGGCCTTGGAACCCAAGAGCTGAGCTCCCTGACTGTGGGGTTAAAGGGAAGAGGGAACCCCACAAAACACCACAGGTTCAGTAGGCGCAATTGTACAGCGATAATAAGTAGAGATTATAGTAAAGTCATAGAGAGCATGAGAGTTAAAGGATGGAGTCAAGTAATGGAGTCAGACGCAATTCATGGTAGCATAGCTCACCTCAGCTCCGCTTGATGGTCCTCGTGGAGGGGGCTTAACCGTCAGAGAAGAAGCCGCTGCTTCATCCTCCTTAGCCACCTTCTCCAGCCACCCTCGGCCAGCCACCCCCCGCCAGCCACAGAAAGGGGCAGTACAATTCATCCTTGAACAGGTTTGATCGTCTCATATGATAAAGCAGGCAATTACTATCCTGGGAGGCATGCAAGCCCCCTGATAGCAGATAACAACCTACGTCATAGAGAGGGGTTGTAGCCTAGGCAATACAAGCAATAGGAGGGGGATGACTTAGGGGTGAACGTGCAATAGTAAGAGGAGGGAATAGGGGGGCATGTGTGGCAAGATAGCAGCCTAAGCTTAGTCATCTTAGAGTGGTCCTGGGCTTGCCTATGGACACTGCTTCAAGAGAACAATAACAGAAAGGAACGGGCCCTATTTGGGGTGAGTCAGACTACAGTCTGGCCGCTCTAGATGACTGATGTTAAGGAGAATAATCTCTGACCTATTTTTGCTGCCTAATGAACAGTCATTCTCAAGCTAAGTCTGGCATATATTTTGGGGAGACAACTTAAGGGAAATCCTTCTGTTCTTCACACCTGACCAGGTCACCTGCCTTCCTGAGCTTTCTTAAGTGAGGCACGGGTGTCATCACCTGCAGGAGATGGCAGAAGCAAACATGCTGCTCAATGACCAGTGACAAACGCATCTCTGTTCTTCTAGACCAGTTTCTCAGCCTTCCTGATGCCGCGACCCTTTCATACAGTTCCTCATATTGGGGCGACCCCCCAACCATAACATTATTTTCGTTGCTACTTTATAACTGTCATTTTGCTGCTGTTATGAATCGGGTGACCCCTATGAAAGGGTCACTCGATCCCCAAAGGGGTCACGACCCAAAGGTTGAGAACCACTGTTGTGGACAGTCACAACACACCAGGGTGCCCTGCACCTATCAGTTTTCCTCAGGGCCACATCCTCCAAGAAGCCTGCCCAGATGGTTTCAGCCATCCTCCTGCCTAAGCTTGTGCCCTCCTTGCAGTGCCGTCCTTTGACCACAGGTCGCAGTCCTTCCACAGTCTGTTCTGGGGCTCACCCACATAAACTTGGCTCCTTAGTTGACCTTGAAGGACCCAGGAGGCACAGGCTATCTCCACCTGTCCCAGACAACAATGGGCCAACTTGGTCTGAACCTCTCAGTCTGGGCTCTAGCCTGCTCTCCCCAAGAGAGCATTCTGAGAAAGAGAGAGAGAGAGAGAGTAGAGCAGCACTGTGTGTGTGTGTGTGTGTGTGTGTGTGTGTGTGTGTGTGTGTGTGTGTGTGTGTAGAGCAGCACTTACCCATGGCGCAGGGCCAGCTTCACGAAGCCTTTGCGGTTGCGCAGGGTGACAGCATTCTTGCCAGGCCGGGAACTCAGAGATTCCGCAGCACCTCCAACGACAATGATGATGGCATTGCCACTCCCGTTCTTGGAAAGCAGGTAGTCTATGGTGTCCCGGTTGACAGGGCAGATGCCTGTGGGGGTCACATAGTCAGGGCTGCACGCTGGTGCATCTACACACACACACACACACACACACACTCTCGGAATCAAGCAGAAACAGGAAGCACCCTCAGATCTAACCCCACTGTTGTGAAGCTATACAGTTCTAGGTAAGCTACACAGCTTTCTAAGCTTCCCCTTACTGATGTTAAATGAGGACACTGTACAAAGATGATTTGGGGGATTCATTCATTTAGCAAACCTTCCTGGAGTTTCTCACTCTGTCGGGCTGGGGCCTGGTACCAGGGACCAGATGAATCAGACTGGTGGGGGTGATGGGCAGGTGGCCAATGCCAGTGTCTTGGGCACCAACTGAGTCGTGCAGAGGCACCCACAGCCTAGGGGTTTCAGGCCCCAGAGGTCTCAGAGAGAGGCACTCTGCTCCTCTCATTCCCTCCTCTCCAGCGGGATCCTGAGATGGAAGGCCAACAGCCCTGCTTGCTTTCTCCCCCTCCCCTTTCCTGCCACCAATACCCTCCTCTGCTCCTTCTCTCTCACCCAAGGGCCTGCCCTGCCTCCAGAGGAAGGATCACAAGCCACGCTCCAGGCATCTCAGGCAACCCCTGCCTCTAGGTGCCAAGGTGGGTCAGTGGGTGGCAACCCTGGGGGCTATGGGGGTGGGGTGCCAGGGACCAAGTCGGGTTAGAAGTTGCGTGGAGGAGGAAGGACTGAGCAAAAAGACTTGAAAAAGAGAGGTATCATTCTCGACTCAGCGGGACCCCAAAGGCCAAACATTTTCACAGGTGAAAAAATGACTCAGAGATGCTAAGTAAGTTGCCCAAAGTCACACCACTAGGAAACAGTGAAACAGTACACCCAAGGCTGGCCCCTCTGTGTCTGAAGCTTCTTAACACACAGGCGGAGGCCAGGAGGCCGGCCCAGTGTAGAGATAGGAACAAAGCTAGGCTGAGGCCCATAGCCAGGAGGGCCAATGGAGACGGCAGAGGCAGAAGCCACCAGTCTTAACACCAGCTTCATCCTCTCTGCCAAGACTCTTGGCTTCAGGCTGAATTACTGCTCTCTAATTTCTCGGTGAGAAATGAGTTCTACTCCACCAGACCCCTGGCTGGTGTCCCTCACCTGAGACAGCATCCCAGTACTTGTCACCAGAGGATGAGACCCCTTCATTCTGCCCTTTCACTTACCAAAAGCTCAGCCTCTAAGACTCAAGGCTAAAATAACCAACTACTTGAAAAGCCCCCACCCAAGCCAGAATGGGTCCTCCTGGGGCCTTGGCACAAGCCCACCCCTGTGTGAACTGCTCTCCAGCCCCGTCTGGATTCACCTGGGTCCCAGCACTGGACAGCCCTAGGAATGTGGGCTCCTGGGCTCAGGCCGTGCCAGCATCTAGGCAGGAAAGGTAGAGCCTCACCTCCTGACATCAGGTACTCCCTCAGCAAAGGCATCCGGAAGTTGCCAGCCAGCGTGGCCAGGTAGGGCCGTATGCCAGGGAACTTCTTGCTCAC